CATGTTCAGCAGCTAAGAACCTTTATGGTAGCCCCTAGCTAGGACCTAGGGGATGAGGGAGTGTCTGAAAGGTGCTAGGACTTGGTGACAAACGTCCTAGTGAGGTCGCAGCATCGTTCTTCTGGGACCTCATGTCCTGGAACATGCTGAAGCAACACCCACAAAGCCTGGCACAGAGTATGAGGAAAGAGCCTGGCAGTACGGATGAAGAGGAGAAAATCGCAGCATCCCTGGACTTGTCTTCCATGTGGATCTTTTCCTGGAGATCAGAGGGGCCATGGCCATCTCACAGAGTGTGCTGGCCCATGGGAGAAAGGAAAACCTGTTACTACCTCTCCAGGTTTCCAGAGAAGAGCTGCAGCCCATCAGCTTTGTCTGACATGGCTGCCTTGGGTTGTCCTTCTTCATAAAACCGCTCTAACCTCCAGCCTGGAAGAGCCCAGACCTCTCCAGCCCAGCCACCAGAACGCAGAGGAACACAAGGTATTCTTGCTTTTTCCTTAGCCTGTATTTACCTAGGCACCTTTTTCCCAGGCTCACCTTGGTAGGGTGACACTACACTAGGTGACTTCCCCCAGTTCCCTGCCATTAAAATTGTCTGTCCCTAACTACAGAACCGTGGGCTAGTATGTGAGTGAGTGAACATGTTGGGTGCCTGCTACCATCACTGACCACATAATTTGCTCAGTGGTAACAGCCTGAAGGCAGCGGCAGAGAGCGAATCCCCTAAATCAGGGGTCAGTGACAGCCAAGCACATGGTGTCCTTGCCAATGCTGCCCTGGAGCTCTCCAGTACGTTCAGCAAGGTGTTTGGATAGGAAGGTTAGGAGCCTCACCACCCTCACAGTGAAGAATTTATTCCTTTTATCTAATCTAAATCTATCCTCTTTCAGTGTGAAGCCATTACCGCTTGTCCTATCACTGCATGCCCTTGTAAAAAGTCCCTCTCCAGCTTTTGTAGGTTTGGGGACACCAAGCTATGTGCAGCAGCAGAGTTCCTGCATGTCAAGACAAAGTAATTCCAAAGGATGTCCCCACAGAGCCCAACCATGAAGGAACAACACATCCAGCCCCTACAATTCTGTGATTCTGTGATCCCTTGTCCCAGCTGGCAGCAGGTCTGCAGCATCTCCCATGCAAGTCAGTGACCTGCCTTTTCCCTGCGGTGCAGATACCAGAGGGGTGGGATCTATCATGGTGACTCTGCATGCCCCAGACATTAGGAAATTGGTGGGAAAAAGCAGCCAAAAATGGTAAACAGAAAGCAGATGGGCAGGACAGGGCAAGTCCCATGCTGCAGTCAGCCCAGCACAAGCTCTCGCTCACCTGTCCCTGCTGCAGAGCTCACACCACTGCGCTTGGGCTGGTTGATCTTGTCAGCAGCAGGACTTGGACTGCTGTGCTCCAACCCTCCAGCCCAGGGGACCACACAGAGACAAGAAAGAGGAGGAACCTACCGGCTGCTTCACGTCCTCTGCTCCAGGCTGTTTTCTGCTACTGTCATCTCTTTCCAACTCCTCAACCTGTTCGTGCAGGCTCAGGCTTCCATGAATATCCGACACTTCATCTGCCGACCCCAGTCCGGTCTCCTCCAGGCAGATGCTGGTTCCTTCATGCACCAGCTCTCCTGGGATGCTGGGACTCGACCCTCCCAGCACCCGATGGCTCAAGAGCTTCCGCTGATGGCTCGTGCTCCCAGGCGCAGTGCCAGCATCCTGTAAGGAGCCTGCCGTGCTGGACCCCCTTCCCAGCCGTCGGCTGTCACGAGTGCCAGAGTTGGCTGGTGTGTTCAGGGCTGGGGTGGTGGAGTGGCTCTGCTCCTTGCTGCTCTGGGCACCTTTTTGGAGGGCTCCATTCTGCAGGCCACCAGCAGGGACAGTCCCATTGCGAGCCCGCTCCCGCTGAAGCCGGTCGCTGCTGTGCTCCAGCTCCTCTGTGCTCAGCTCCCGGCTGCTGTCAGGCAGGGCACCATCCTGCTGCTCATGGAAAGTGGGTTTCTTCCCAATGTGCGTGACACGGAACCTGGAATGGGGCAGAACGGATCAAAATCTTTCTCCCTCCTCTATTCCAGCTTCTGTGTACCTCCAACCTTGAATCTCCTCTCTCTGTCAGTGACTGGTGCTGATCTCCAACCTTCCAGACCCGCTCAAAACCACCAACTCCCACTCTAGCCATGCCCCCACTGACCTAACCCCATTTTCTCATTTTTTGGTGAAACAAATAGAAAGAGAAGGATGAAAAGATCAATCCAAATGATGGCTACTGCAGACCCTTCCAGCTTGTCCTCCCTGCAGCAAGACAGGTCACAGCCTGTGGAAATGCTCTGAGGTGCAACCTGGACAAACGGAAGCCTGTACAGAAACTGAGGTCTTGATTCAGAAGGTGAGATGCAAACAGGCTAAGCCTGATGAGGAAAGGATGGCCATGCAGAGGTGCATGGACGTTGTGCCCTGTGACAGACTGCCATCAGGGGAACAAGAGCCGGAATTTTCAGCAGACAGTGCACCCCAGGTGAGGGCAGAGACAGAGTTTTGGCAGCACAAGCTTTATTTCAGTACAGGGATCAAAAGTGGGAAGAATTGTTTGGCTAAAATCTGCCAGAGCACATTTTGAACTAAGGTCCACCATGTACCAGGTAGCAGCCTAGAGCTTTATGGAGTACAGCTGCAACCTCAAAGGGTGTGTTTATAATCAGGAGGTGATGCAATGTTGCATGTGGGGAGATGAGGGAAGTAAGGCATCTACCACAGCTTTGGGATTTGTGAGAGGTAACACAAGCAGGCTGGTTGTGACTAACACTGTGACTCCTGTTTGTATGCTGAACCAGCAGATGGGAAATCTCTTCCACGGGGAGCCGGTGCCCAGCAGCCAAAGAACGCTGATCCCACCACAGAGACCTCATGCAGTCTGTGACTCAACCAGCAACTGCTCTCCCTGTGCTTGAGTCACATGTGGAGAAGCTGCAGAAGGCCCTCGCTCTGCTGAGGTTCACCTAAGAATCAGCATCAGGGCGAAACACTATTTCAGCAGCAAAATTCAAGTACTGCTGGGGTTGAAAGAAGAACAAGACCCAAAGGTCAAGCACATGGCAGTATGGCCACCCTGAAGGAAGAAGCTGAGAAGAAAGGTCCAAGAGATAAAAACAGGCACCAGATGAGATACCAGAGATGGAGACAACTGGCAGGCTGTGGCCCAGATGGCAGTCTGTGGATGGTACAGACCCCTTAGCACTGCAGTCAGAAATGCTACTCATGATTGGAAGGATCAAGAAGATAAATGCTCCAGGTCTGGACGAGGTACCTACAGGACTGCTCAGGTCAGGCCAAGCAGCAGCAAATGTGACCTTTCAGGTCTATCCAGATATTTAGAGACAAGGCACAAGTGTGGCGATTCAGGAAGACCAAAGAATGTTCCAGACCCAAAGAGGGACAGGGAGGAGGCACTAATGGTAGGATCATTTATTGATATTGCCATTGAGCAATGTCAGCCTGAAAGTAGCTCAGAATGGATTCAAAGGAGCAGGCAGGGTTCAGACTGGAGGGGGCACAAGAGGTAACGTAATCAACCTCCAGATGAGAGAAGAAAGGCAGGAGAGCTTGGCTGTCTGCCATTGCTAAGAAGCTTGATTCAGTAGGATATGACACACCGTGGCTGATCAGGCTAAGGACAGAAGGTCAGATGCAGATGGTGAATGAGCTCTTCCACTGACAACTAGTTTAGGGAAAGCCCTATGGTAAGTGGTAAATCATTCAATAATGTAAGACCACAGATCATATAGCCCTAATTACCTCAGAAGTAGAGAATAATTTAGGTGTGAAAAGCCCTCGGGAAGTCTCCAGTCCAACCCTCTTCTCAATACTGGGCCACTTCCCACCCTCAACCAAGTTGCCCAGGGGCCCACTCAGTCAGGTCTTAGAAGTGTCCAAAGATGGAGACCCCTCCAACCCTCTGTCTCAGGGCTGCACCATTCTTATGATGAAACAGTTTTTCCTTATGTCTCTTGTTGCAACTTGTAACCATCACCTCTTGCCCCTCCTTGTGCATCCCAGAAGAATCTAGCTCCATCTTAATTTAAACTCCCCCCACCCCTTAGAGAGCAATTAGATCCCCTCCTTACACTTTTCCCCATTCCCTCAGCAGCTCCTCACATGTCACATGCTCCAGCCCCTGATGATCTTGGTGAACCTCCACTAATCTCACTCCTTTTCGCTCCTTTAGCAGTGAGCCTATGCCTACCAACCAGGGACCAGACCCAGTCAATAAGCTGTAGGTAATAGGGAAGGAGGTTGTACTCTCAACCATAGCATCCAAGAAAAAAAGCAGTAATAGAAAAAAATAAGAAAACAAGGCCTGAGGATTACAACAGAAAGGTGGGTTCAAGGAGTTTTGTATGTAGGATCAGTCAGAAGTCAAAGTACTTTGTGTGATCAAGATATTCGTAGCAAATAAGACACAGCAGCAGCAGTCCTAGAAAAGTCATCCAGGATCTAAAAGAGCACAAAGGGGCCAGCTTGGAAACGAGAACTAGAATTCAAAAGTAGCTTTGTACCTCACCTCATGCCAAGGAGATTCAGAAAGCAGAAACTTTTAAGATACAACCTTGGAGAAATGTAATAACTGTCCCGTGGAGAAGGCTGATGTGACATGGGATATTAACAAGGATGAAAAGAGAAAACCAAGGTGTCAGGGAAGGTGCCTTTAGTAAAGGAGAGCATCTTCTCCAGTACTCAGAGGTGAATGAAAGGAGACAGCGAAGAGCATAGATGAAGGACACAGAGGAGTGGATGGAGCTGGGCACCAGCCAGGGAATGAGATTAGCCAGGAATATGTAACCATGCAGAGATATGGTTTATCAGACACCACTACCAAGGACAGCTGGCAGCAACAAGCAAAGAGGAATCCAGAAGCTGTCAGTCTCCAGAGGGTGTGATCTTAGTTGGAGTTCAGCAACTCAGTATCCTGCTGATACTCCTACCTGTGATGGTGGAAAAACCCAAACCTCCTGATGCCCGCTTGACACCACAACTGTCTCGCTGGACCACAACATGCAGCTTCATCAAGGCTTAGGCCCTGAATGAAGACCTGCTGCAGGATATGAGCACAGCAGAGCTTTGTGTCTCACCAAGATGGCCATCTAGGGATGAGCAGATGCTTGTCACTCTGCCCCAGTCACCACTGCAGCAGGCAGCTGTGCCCTGGAAGACTTTGCTGAAGGTCTTGTGCATGCTAAACCTTTCTGCTGCGGTATGGAGCAACCTGGGCAAGACTGCAGGTTACCAACTACATAGAGACCACAGGAAGCTCAGGAAGTTCCTGAGGTGAGACCAGGAGAAGACTGGAGAATTATTTGTGAGAAGTACCTTGTACACTCCCCTATTCTTACATTCCTGCCATGTCACCTAATTACAGTCGTTACTGGAGGCAACAACCTGGAGAAGCATGGCTATTCTTCCATTCTGATAGTGATGGCTGGTAACTTGCATCCAGGACCTGCTGTCACCTCCTCCCACACTTAATGAGATCCCCAAAACCTGGGGTCACTACTCCTGTTTAGGCAGCAAGACCCCTGCTTGCATGTAGCTGGGACAGCAGGCTTTGGAATGACATGGATTTGGGGATCTGCCCAGCACTGAGTCAGCAGGACAACCCAGGCTTGAGTCACCTTCCCAAAGAAGGAGGGAAGCCACTGGTGCGTCATAGCCTGCCACACACCACAGACATTTCCAGGTGCAAGAGACACCTGAGTCCTTGGGACTCCCAAGCTGCAGAGCTTCTACTGGGGTATCTAAATGGGGAAGAGCAAGAGGGTGCCTGATGTGGGGCAAGTGGGGACAGGGAAAGGAAGAGGGGAACTGAGAAGACTCTCCATGATGCTCACTCCATAAGAGCAGATGGGCCATATCTGGCAAAGCTCACTGAAGTACCTGCCCACTGAGAAGACGGTGGTCTCTCCAGGATGCATCCTGCCTTTGCCATCCTTTGACCGTCCTTGTCGATGCAATGGGTGCCTCTTCCTCTTGCTGCAGTGGATGCAGGGGGCCTGTGTGGAGCCCAGATGCACTGTGTGGTGATGTGGTGGGCCCCCATCCTGGCTGTTGCGGTGGGGACAAAGGCTGCAATGGGAGAAGGACATAACAGGTCATGTTATCTGGAGGAGACTTCACAACCTTGATGCAGCTTTGCAGCAGCAAGCTGAGAAGCAGCAGCTCTGGAGGGGACCTCTTGTGAGGACAGGAATGAGGAAGAGCTATTCCCCCTAACAGTGGGGTGAAGCACTCATTGCAACCCTCGAGGGTGCAGTATTTCTTGTTGGGAAGATGCTTTACGACAAGTTGTAAAGGGCCTGGCTGCAAAGCCTCCAGACCAAGGTGATACCCAAAGGCTACTTCTCCCTCACTCTGAAGGAGCCACAAGCTGGTATTGGCTTCCCTCACCTGGGCACTGGCACTGGGATGTCCCCTTCATTGTCCCCCAGCATCTCCTTGAGGGCTTCTGCGTTTGCTGAGGAGAGAAGAAAAAGGGAATGCATCAGCCAAAGCGGTCAACACGTCTCCAGAACAGCCCGACGAAGTGCTCACCTTCATTTTGGATGATGCATCTTACAATCTTCTCTACTGTGTCCTCATTCAGCTCCTCCTCTTCATCTGAAAAGAGAAAAAAAGTGTGGCACTGAAGGCTGGGATTTGGACACCCAGCTCACCAGTCCCTCCCCTGGAGCAGCCATGTCAACAGGGAGGTTGGAGAAGCCTCAAGTCCCCCATCATGCTTGGAAGCCCCCAAAGAACACCAGACCCCTCACCCTGGTAACAAGATGTCTAGAACAGCAGCCATCTGTGCAGGGACACAGGGGTTGTGTCGCCCCTTCAGAACTGGGGGGCATCACAAGACATGAGTGGGAAGCAGGGTCAAAACAAGTTGAAAGAGAAGGGTCCTCTGGGTGCAGGTTGCTGCAGGTTCTAAAAATCTCCAAGGGTAAACGGGACAAGTTCACAGAAAAGAAATCCACTGGGGCCTGTTAAATACAGAGAAACTATCTCTGATGGAGAAAGCCCTGGAGCTACACACTGTCAGAAGCTTAAAAGAATACGCTGGGGAAATTTGGCTCAGTGTCTGCTCCATTGTGGTATTCATCCCCAGCATTCATCGGAACCTGCTTCTGGCCACTTTTGGAGTCTGGAGGATTGGCTGGCTGAATCTTCAACCCAGTCTGTAGCGTTGTATGTTCCTGTGAGCAGGTTAGTCTTGCAGTCTGATAGGCAGCTGCCTCAAAGAACATGGTCAGGGGTTGCCACTGTGCTCCTGGAAGCGCACAGAGGTGTTTCCCTGAGCTGTGGCAAATCCAGCAGGCAAACACAATCACAGAAGTTTCAGAGACTGTCTCCATGTCAAGTGCAGGCCAGTCACTGAAACCAGAGGAGTACATCTGAGGCCACCTGGAAACTCCTGCTGCATCTGTGGGGCGAGCTGGGGGAGCCACGTTTCCCTCACATGCACAAGAAATGGCAGCGGAAGGTGCTAACCCTCCTGAGCGCTGACAGTGCTGGAGGAATCATGGAGCACCATTTGGCCATTTTCAGGTAAGGAAGAGGCTGAAGTAACATGTCTTCTTCATTTCAGCAGAGCCTCTTGAAACCTTCAAGTGACAGAGCTTGCTTGGACTGAGCTCTGTTATTCACCAATGCTTGACACTGACTTCCCAATCCTACTAGCTGAGAGCCAATTATGTTGGCCTCAAGCTATGGAAAAAATTCTTAAATGTCCTCTTCCAGTGCAGGGCAGAGATCCCAAAGAAACACCTCTATTCCTCTGGGCTGCAAGAGCACAACAGGGACAGGAAGAGGACATGACCTTTAGCAGACACCATGCTGGTCCCGTGCTGGACCACCTAACAGCAAAAGAGCAGAAGGACAGCTCATGCCCTGGTTGGAGGATGCTTTCCTTTTAGGGGCTGAGGGTTATAGTTCAGGTGCGGTGGATTTGGCAGGTCCTGGTTGTTTATCAGAATTAACTTTTGGTGATAATGCCACTTTGGGAAGGGCCATATGCTGATTCCCACCTCCCTGGCACCACCAGCCTTCACCAGCTTGTGGAGCCAGAAGATCAGAGGGCTCTCTGTGCCATACACTCCCAATCCCTCAGGAACACCCAGCTATTCTCACCAATCCATCCCTTCTTCCCAACCCAGCAGCACGTGACAGGTAACCCTCCCACCCACAGCCTGCGTTCCAGAAATGTGTTTAAGGTCCACGCCAGGTGAGAGGCAGTGGCCGAGTCCCCATCAAGCCCCCATCACCCCAGCACTCACTGGCCTGGAGCTCCGCCAGCACATCTTTGTTATCTGGGTCGAGCTCGTCCCGGAAAGTCCGGCACCGGTAACCCTTCTTCTTCAGGACATGGCAGATCAGGAAGCCCACCAGCCCCATGATGAAGAAGACAAGGACAAGGAGGAAGACCATAGACAGGCTGTGCTGGGGGTCTGACTCCCCATCGTCGGTGCTGTTCTGGTCTGACATGCGGATCTAGGAGAAAGGGTGAAGGCGGATCAGAGACCCTGGTACTCACCCCCCTGCCAAGCTCTCCGTGCCCATCCTCCTCCTCCTCTTCCTCACATCCACCTTGGGCTAGAGCCAGCTCCCGGCTCGGGGTGGGCTGCCAAGGGCTTGTCTCT